CAAATTACAAGATGAAACATTAAATGAACTGTGTGGGCAACAAACACTAAATATTAAACTGGATCTAATTGCTTGTTTACTACCAATTGAAGTTTTTCAATGTGCAAATGAATGAAAGGGGCCCTGAGTTTTTAAGTAATATTATGTCTATACAGTGAGTCTAAAACATGATGTTTCTGAAATCTAAAAGGACAAATAAAATGGAAAACACCCCACAATACCTTTTAAAACAAAAAAAAGTGGTAGTTTAAAATAGTTATTTGCTTAAAAAATCAATTATAAACTGGATGCCCTAATGTAATTTTTAAAGATTCCTTCTCTTTTACCTAGATTTTAAAATATGGGTTTCAAATTAAATTTTAAAAATGACTGTCACATGTTTAATAGTAACATTACAAACATCACAGTAATAACAGAATTGAAATTTTCAAGATATGATAGATTTATTTGGGGCATAATTTTAATACACAGCATAAATTCTTAAGTATTTGTTTCAAATGTATCAGCCATAAGATAAAATCCTAAATTTTTCTTTATATGCACAAACACTCAACTTGAACCAGTCACTTACAAATTCAATGGAAATTGTTATAGTCTAGTCTATGTTGCAAAACAATGGTAAGTATTTCAAAAGTGGTCTGCAAAAATGTTCATAGATAATACCTGATTATTGTAGAGTTTGCTTTTGAAAGTTAATGTTGCACTTTGTGTCTAATATTTGATACAAAGGAATATGTAAAACATACATATATGTTTTATGTGGCTTAATTATAATGGTAAGCTTGCTTTAATATAGGTTAAAATTTTTTAATGGCAAAATGATATACAGTTCTGTATGCATGGCTTTTTAGTTATAACTAATTAGAAGATAAAATCGTTAAACTTCACAATTTAATAGAAAATATTAGATGATATAAAACTGAAGTTAAGTGATTTGCTGACAATCTGATGGTTGAATCTCTTGTCAAATGGTAACATTTTAATTCTCAATTCTATCCTACTGAATTATTAACTGGAGTAATGAATTTGAATATAAGATATCATTTTAGGTGTTCTTAAAAATAAAGTTATTAAAATAGGAGTGAGGAGAAAATACTAAAGGAACCAAAGCAATTTTGTCTGAAGAACTGAGACTTAGATGTTAAGTGAGAAGCCTGAAGCATATTGAAGAATAACAATGTTAAAGAGGATAGTCAACCGCTCTTTTTTTACTACTGGATAAGGGAAATGGATATAAAATGAAAACAGGAGGGAAGCAGCACAGATATGAAGAAAACTTTCCTGGCACAGAAGATTGCAAGTCAGATAACTAAGGAACACAGTACGTCAGACACAAACTAAGAGGTGATTGAAGGAAAGTAATGTTTAGGTGTACCAGACTACCCTGGGACTTCCTTTCTTATATGATAGTTTAATCTGGGAAACTGTAGAAAAGCCTTCTTTTCACAATAACATTTGCGTAACAGGCACAAACCATGATTTGCCATATTTACTTAAGGAATACATTTAGGAGCGGGTCATGCAAGGTAGTTTTGGCTAAAGTTTACATAGTTCAGAATCTAAATGTTGAAATACAATTTTATCTGAAGAGCAAAGTGACAGTAAAAGGTATGAATATGTAGAAATATCCTAGTCTGAAAAAGACTCCTGGGGTATATGTAGAAATGTTACACACTTTCTAAAATAACTGGTCTAGACAATCAACTAAGGTGTATGTACAGATTGTAACTTTTGTTTAACGAGTTAGTTTGAAAGATAATGTAATATGTAAAGCAATCTGTGAAGTTATGTAATAATCTGCATTTAACTGGTTACAAGTTCAACATATTTATAAAAAGTTGTATATAAATGTAAGTTATCTCAAGTTCTAGGAACTAACCACCTCCAATGAAATATTCATTACCATAAATATGAGAAAAGAAACAAAAAGTTTATTGAAATATTTTTCCATTTTAAATGACTTTGGAGAGAGAGGTTTACAGAGAATGAAAAATTCAGTGAATAGCTACAGCCAACCAGGTATTCCATTTGGCTTTAGAAGCCAAATTTAAAAATATTTTCAATAAAAATACTTGCCAAATTTTGTGATAATTTCCATTGAAACATATACTTACTTGAGTGCTCCTACCTGTCTTTTAATTATTTTCACATTCAGAACCAACATACACTTTCTGGAACATGTAGATACATGAAAGGAAGCTATACAAATTGCGTTATCAAAAGGGCATTATCCTGTATACTTCCTACATTCTCCTCAATTAGTTCCCTAGATTACAACATTTTCTAAAGTCACTAAAAGCAGAAATTTTCAAGATGGAGTCAAAGGATTGATGAGACATAAAATCCATGTTAAATTAATTCCTCCAAATCAAGCATGGAATCAATTTAGGAAAAAGTCTTTGTTCCCATAAGCCACCTTCACTTTTCCCTTAAAATTTACTTTTCCTTAGCTTTTCAATATAAGAATGTTAGGAGTGAAGATAAGTGATATGGTTTTAAGGTTCATGATGGCAGAGGTGGGATTGAATTTTGTCTTGAATTAGTAATTATTTCTCAAGCAACATTCAATACAGATATGTCTACACATCTTCATATGGTTGCCTAACTTTTAATGTCATTTAGATATCTGGTTTGGCTTACAGAGAAGTCACAACTGGGGCCGCTTGAGTGGCTCAGTTGGTTAAGAGTTGGCTTAAGAGCGCGAGCTCTGAGCAACAGGGCCGCCGGTTCGATTCCCACATGGGCCACTGACACTGCGCCCAAGCTGAGCTATTGTTGAGCTGCCAACAGGTGGCAGGATGGCTCAGCTAGTGTAACAACAAGATTGCCTGTTTGATGGTGGGCTACCCCCACCTACATCTAAGACTGAACTCGGCACTTTGAGTTAAGCTGCCGCCCAGATGGCTCAGTGGATAGAGCATGCACTCTTAACAACAAGGCTGCTAATTCACCTCCCACATGGAATGGTGGCTACACCTGCAACTAAGATTGAACACAGCACCTTGAGCTTAGCAGCCACAAGCTGCCAATGGGAAGCCAGATGGTGACTGGCACCCTCCACAAGGAAGACTGAAGAACAACAACTTGGCTGGTCCCCTTCCCCAATTCCCCAACACTGTTCCCCTCCCCCAACTCCCCAATAAAATCTTTAAAAGAAGTCACAATTGTGCTGGAGAATAATGACTAAATTTCTTTAAAATGTCAGTATATTATACATCCTGTCATACAGAGCATAGGCAGTGTAGCATGGATGAAGTGGAGAAAGGCAAACCTAGGTTAAAATCCCAGCTTTGTTTATTACTAGATGTGGACTTTGGGCAAATTACTGAGTTTCTCTTAGCTTCAGTTTACTCATCTGTAAAGGGGGAATAGTACCTATAATCCTTATATGGTTGTTACGAGGGCTAAAAGAGACAGTGAACATATATCCCAGCATTCAATATGCAACAAATGATCAATTAGTATTATTTCACTCCTGCATCTTTCCAGAACTTTTACACCAATATCAGGGCTTTTTATACCCCCCAATTATTCATTTAAAAAGGGGGAACATTTTTAGGAATTATAATTAAATCACTTTTGTCTACAAACAATTCAAATCAGGTTCTTTCAATTATTAATATTTAGTTCTGGTAAACAATTAGGATAGTTAAAGGAATTAATATTAGACTTTGATTGACTATTATAAAGCTTGTAATACTATCTTACGAAATGAATTTAACATTTTTCCATTGGATGGACTTTTATTCAAAAGGATTCAAATGCTTTTCTATATGTGAAATGTTGTATAGCAGTTAAATATTAGCTTTAAGAAACATTTATTATTAGATGAATAAAATTAGCGAATAAGTGTTTTAAGTAATTTTGCTTACTTGTATATTATAAACAGAGTCTAAAAGTAAATCAGTCTGATGTGCAATTCAATTTAAATTTTATTAAAATGATCTACAATTTCCACTTCTACTTTTTCAAGAGTCTACTTAAAAAACTGGGGAAATTATTTGTTTTCAACATGCTTGCATGAAATGGGAATCTACTGTATAAGGAGTTCTTTTAGTTTGTATATTAATTTTTGCAAGTATCTTATTATTAAATATGAAAAAATGCTGGAAAACTTAAAATCAACTGGCCCAACCACAAGGTATAGTAGAATGTAAGATAATTATTCTTCTGTCAGGGAGAGAGGTCAGTTAGACCTCAAATGGTCACTTACCCTCAATGCTTCCAATTGGAGAAGGACTATAATTTATTTTGACTCAAGGATGTCCTATAAAACAAAGGTTTGAAAATACTATCCTGAAATGTGGTTGAAAGACATTTAAAGGCAAGGGAACTACCGTATTTGCCGGCGTATAAGACGATTTTTTGGCCCTGAAAAATATGCCTCCAAGTGGGGGGTCGTCTTATACGCCAGGCACACTTCAGATAGACTGCCCATAGTGCTTGCCCCGTGCCATAGTGGCCTCCCGATGCCCGCCCACTTCATTCCCATACCGTTCAGGCATCAGCAGCGCTGCTGGGTGTATGCTCGGCTGTTATGCGATTTTGCTGTTATGCGATTTTACCACACTCGCAAAATCGCACACAGCCGACCATATAACAAACTCTGTATTTTGAGTGGAAATGTTAGGGGGTCATCTTATATGCCGAGTCGTCTTATACGCCGGCAAATACGGTAAGTGAAAATTTATTGGGAAAGATATAAATAATTTGTTACATAGATAAAAGAACAACTAAACGGAAAAAATTTTATGCGAGAAGACTAAAAAATATCCTAAGGGTGTGAATCAAGATAAGGGAAAATAAAACATAAAAGGTAGAAATCCTGGGCACTAGTAAAATAATCAATTGTAAGAATTCAAAACTGTGTTCAGCAATTCAGCTGAATAAATGGTAAGTGTTGTAATATCTAACTCTAAGATCACAGCAGATAAAAAACAAGAGAATGCTTATATATATGTCATAAGTATTTTGGACAGCAAATTGAAAAATTTGTGTTGTTTTTAGCTAAATGATGAAGCTAGAGAAATATGAGTGAGAAAAGATTGTTCGGGGGATTTTTGTTTCCTCTTAGCTTTTTATGTCCCAGAGAAATCTTAGAACTTAATTAGATAAGGTGTACTAAGTACTCGGAGAATCTGTAAAAAATAAGTGACAGTATCACTGTTTGCAAATTGATAGAAAGTAATTTGTGCTTATTAAAAAAAGTCCCTTATTTGACATAAAGTGCTTTATTTAAAAAAAACAAACATGCAGAAGTTGTTTTAGAGACAATTGTCAGTAATGAAAGTAGGAAAGAAGCTTTAAAACAGTATGATTTGAATGATACATAACATCTTATCACTAAAAGGTATATTTGAATATAATGTAAATAATAAATGCTGCTCACATATCAGAGATCATGTGAAAATTTGGCAAAAGGAGAAATTATGAAAATAGGATTAGTGAAAAAACACGCACTTTTGAAAAGAGAGAGTAAGTCTCAGTCTGCTCAAAAATGATAGGTTTGGCAGCACTCCTTCGACAGGGATTTGACATGCCAATTGAATGATTTTTTTCCACACAGTGTTTGAGGTCACGGGAAGAGGAATCATTTGCAGACAGTCACCAGGCTTTGCTTGGGAAGAGGATAAAAAGATACTACAGGTTCAAAACTAGGAATCACTTTTGAAGTTATTTTAAACAGGAAATGTAATTTTATTTGAGTCAAAGATGGCCTATTCAGAGAATGAAGGATATAACACTATATTGTCTTAACCACCTACCTACTTAAAGATTCCATATAAGTATAGCTCTATAAGTTTTCTGATAAAAATGTGCTTCTTAAATAAATGAAAATGAAACATAACATACATATAAAAATAAAATAAAATGGAAAAAGGCTAATATTTGACTTCCTCTACTTTGTTCTATGCTCTCTTATGAACTTCCAAAACCCGAACCAAATATGTTTATTAAAATGCCTGGAAGGAAAAGTTTAGAATTTGGAAGGTTAAAAGAAATAGCATTTCAAAATAGGTTTTGGTAGTTCCTTTTTTAGAGCCCTTTGAGACAATGTTTCTGCATTCTCCATAAGGAGAAAGAAAGCAAGAAATCAGGTAGCTGCTTTCTCCTCTGCAAAATCCACTGTCTTTGAACAGACTTGCCGAAAGTATAGGGGATAGAGAGAAAAAATGTTCATATTATGGAAGAATGTGTGCTCGGTAGGAAGAGAGCTTACAAGAAAGCTTATTTGTGGCCTATGGACTATTGCACATTCAAACAAAAGACAAGAGAAAAGAATGTCCAACAGACAATATGTTCAGGAACGTATCAACATATAAACTAGCTTGTGCCCAGAAAAAAAACATGGATACCAGATACCACTGCTGTCAAACCTGTCTTAATTTGCTTCTGTTTTAATGACCTTTAGAAACTGCTTCAAACTGATTATCAGCAATACATTGTTTTTGCTTTTTTTTCTTAAAAAAATATTTTGAGACCACTTTTGATACACACATATAATTCTGTGGTCATAACAGACAAATATAACTTTAGCGAGACTAAACAAAAGTGCAAAACTTAAAAAAACAAAATTAAAAATATGGAAGCATAAGCTAAATTTTTCTGCATAGCTGAAATCTATTTAAAGCAAGTCTTTGTTGCAGGGGTGGGGGTGGGGGGTACTGACAGGAGGATAAAGCAGATTTTTTTTTCCAATGTCTTCTGCATGTTTAAATGATGCAAAAAATAATTTCACTCCATAGGCTTTAAAACATTTCACAGACAGTTCATTCCTATATCTTTAGACACCATAGTTGTGGCAGTACCTCCTTCTGCAAGGTAAACAGCGGTGCTAGATTTGGAATGAACTGCCCTGTCACTGCCATTGTTGTTGACCTCACAGTCCAGTGGTTCAGTGGAGATAACCCAGGTGGAGGGGCGCCACCGCTTAAGAGAATAGGGAGTTTTCACACGTTTCTTGATCTTTTCACCAGATCCTGATTTGCCATCTTGTGTTGACTCACCTACTGAAAATAAAAGTACAGAAAAATGAAATATGTACAAAGAAACTATTTAAAAGTAAAACATTAGGGTTGTAACTTGAAAACAGAACAAATTAATGTCTGTAGGAGATGCTAATGGACATTTCTTGAAATTCATGATGCCAGGCAATATTTTTCTAGCCAAAACTTAACCAACTTATTTTTGAGACCCTTTATGCCCAAAGTTTTTATAGCTGGTTGAATTATTCTATAGGACGAAGGAGGAAATATTTTAAAAACCACAAAAAAAGAAAAACAGGGGAAATTCAAAGTTCTTAGCTGTATTCTCAAATCCTTTGGTTACTAGTAGCAATCCTAACTTGGTAAAAGGCATTTAATCATTTTATTTAATGCTCAAAGTGGATCAAATTATAAAGGCACTTGGCATATGATATCGTATAGAACAGTGTCATAAATACCAGAATGCAAATTTTCTGGTAATTCCCCCTTCCCATACCTGACAAGACATTTTACTGATATGGATCCCAGCCACAGGGTATGTCAAGTGGTCTGTAATACAAACCACTCAAGCAAGGGGCTAGATTCTACTAATTGATTTCTGAGAGCTGAATCCCTTCAGCCCATTTTGTAGTCTTTGACAACAACCATAAAACATAACTTTGTATTTCTTCATAAGTGTTGTCTGTCCAAGAGAGAAATCATTTTGTATAATGATGGCTGTTAAAGATTTTGGTGAGCTCTTCTGTCTTGTGTTATAATCCCTTTAGGGCCACAAACCAAGTATCAAGTTATTTAAGTTGTTATGGGGTCCACAACACAATGCTATAGGCATGTTGGAGACTCAACACATACTCTTGAAAAGGATGACACTAAAAAACCAAGAAGAATTTAATAGTTTCTTTATAGTGAGTTTACTGAATTTCCTCTGGACTTTCAAGATTAAGTCTGATAAAATCTAAACGTGTATATAATAGATAGTAATATCTTCCACAAACTGTTTCAAAAGTTATATTGGCATCATTTTACTTGGAGCTTTTAAACTGGTAAATATTTATTTAATCTTAACCATTCATAGCAAATAAGTGAGTTGCGTTATAAACTAGTAGCTACATAAGGCACATATTAAATTGGTAATTATTCTATTGTGACACTGACTTTTTAATTATCAAAAACAAAAAAATTACTTTTTCCTTTACAATAGTCTAATTAATTTTGAGCTCTAGCCAAATGGCTTATTTTATTTCTAAAAGCAGTAAAAGTAAATAATTGCTAGTTAAAACAATCTGATTCTATCTAAGTAGTTACTTAAATGGTCCCAAAAGACAAGCAGGAGAGATTACATGATCCTTCCACTTACACTGCAAACTGCTGCCATCAAGGATATTTGTGGCTGAAAGATCCAAAGAATTAGGCCTCTGTGCTCTTCTGGGCTTTGATGGTCCAGGATCTGCTACTGTGCTTGGAACACCCTGTGTAAGAATGTCTTGCTCTGAACATGGGTTACTGTTGTTGTTATTGGAATTAGTTCGGCCACCTTCCAGTGGCCGTTCCCTCCTGTCCACTAGACGATCCAGAACACCTTCATCATGGCCAGCCTGTTGCTCTCGCCTCAATAAAGGTTCATGCTCATCAGGACTGGAATTAATATTCAGCCTGGTGTCCTCACCAATGAATTGATTCTGCAGCATTTCTTGGGCCCTGTGTGCCACTGTGTTGGCTGTCTGGCCAGATGGTACCGCCCCATTGGCATACTGGGTAGTGGCAGAGTGGGAATTAACGTTGTGGCTTCTACCTGCCACACCATTCATGGTGACAGTCACCACATGAGGTTCTGCAGCATTGATTGTATTCATCTTGGCAACTCCAGTTTCTACTTGTTTCAAGTTTGATTTGTGCTTGCTCCCAAATTTCAACCGGGGCTCCTTTGTTGAATTTTTGGTGTTTAAAGGCAAACTTGTAGGTCTCTTAGGAAGGTTCTGTTGCTTGGGGAGAGGATAGATCTGAGTGGGTGGGACATCAGGAATTAAACATGCTTGGCCATTGGCAGCCTGTGTGAAGTCCTGCTGTCCAGTCACTTCTACTGCAAGCTTTATGAGTGGGTAGAGCAAACTAGAACTGGTGCTGCTCAGAGGGTCTGGCCCACTGAACTGTTTGAGAGAATGCTCCATGAGATTCTCATCAGAACTTTCCTTGAGATTCTTATCAACTTCTTTTGGGTCTAGCTTATTGGTCTCCAAGTCTTCTTCTGTCAGCTGCAAGCAGACAGGGGTTGGCCCAATTGGCTGTGAAACATTTGTGGCATGAAGAGTTGTTTCATCTGGGTATGGTATCTCAGCTATAGTGGTCATGCCGGTGCTTGGAGTGAGGCCAGTGGTGTTTGTGGTGGTTGTGTTGGTGGACAGGCTGGTGACGCTTGTTTCAGGGCTGGGGATTCGAGCTTGTGCTTGCTGTCGTTCATAGTTAATTGAGTTTCGGTTCTTTTCCCCTGTAGTCAAAGGTGTGCTGGACATTGAATGCTCAGAGGAAATATTCTTCACAATGCTGTCAGTGTGATGGATAGAGTCTTCAATGTATGAAGAAGAAGAATAATCTGGATAAGGGCCAATCTTTGGCACACGCCTATTATGGGTCAGGTTGCTTAAAGAAAGAAAAAAGTGCCACATTGAGAATGTACATTTATGATCATCTGACTCTCCAAGTTTAACACCTCTGATTTTAAAGTACAAACTGCTTTTTATGTTATTCCTAACCCACATCATTCTAAAGATTATTTAAAAATTCTAATCAAATAATCAAGTATCAATTAATAGCTTACTTAATGCTAGTTATATTTTAACTACTGATTTAAGCCTACTGAAAAACCTACATGGATCTAGATATGATTTTTATAGATGTTCATTATTTTGGTTTACAAGAGTTAATTAAAAGTCTCCCTAATAGTTTTATAACATTACCAAATATATCTTTATGAATTGTATACTTGCACAATCATAAAAAGTTTCATGAGAGGAGGAACCACATGGCATATGTTTCTTTTGTAGTCTCATAATTCTAGATACGTTATGGCTACTCAACCAATATGTTACCAATTAGGTTCCAATGGCCAAATGGTAAAAAGAACATAAGCTTTTAGGTTGTTCCGAAGTGCTTCCAAGAAGAGGCATAGTCTAGCAATGGAATACATCTTCCTGGGGTATAAATTGAGCCACATCAATGAAAGTCCTAGAGCCTAAAGTATAAGGCAAAATGTGACACTCAGATAAAGGATCAGATTCAGAAATGTTCTCCAGTTACCAAAAGGGTTTTTCACAGTCATCGTCACACCTTGAGAGTGATGGTTCTTGAACATCATACTATAATATATTTATGTTATTTAACATAAAAATCAGGGGTAGCTTTAATTAAAACAATCAAATTAAACATTGGGAACATTAATAGATACAAGTACTATAGAAGAAAAGCAGCAGTTAAGGGAGCAATGCTACAAAGAAAGGTATGAAGGGAATGACAGGAAGTAGAGGAAGTAAAAGGCTGTTGTACTGCACAAGAAAAGGAAGTTTAGAACGTCTGAAGGGTAAGATTCAATACAATGGAGCCGAGACTGGAATGACTATGGCATGAATTATGATTCAGGGGGAACTATTAAAAAGTGACTGGACATGAGACGAAGCATGTAAGGGGTAGAGCTGAAGAACACACAAGGCAAAAAATGGCCAAAGCAAGAGGGAGCATCAAGAGTTTCTTCTCACCATACAAAAAAAGTTCAAAAGCCCTTAAAGTAAAACTAGCTGACTCTTGAGAGAGGTACAAATAGCATACTAGAGCACACAGAAAATATAGAGATGAGATGGAAGCAGAAGAGTATCCTTAGGTATATGTAAAGTGAGAAAATTTATATTTACACTTGCAATCTCTACCTTCTTGACTTGCTGATATATAAAACATCAGTGTTTATATGCTGCAGTCAACTCATCCTAAACATAAGTAGTGCAAACCCAATTTGGGGCCTATAGTGCATAGTACAAATTGCTCTTAGAAATTGGAACAATCAAAAATAACACAGAAAATGATTCAAGAATCAAGTGTATTTTTATCTGAATTTTCTCTGGTAACTTTTTCCTGGATGCATTTCTGAAAATTTTTAACATGTATTATTAGATAAAATGACAAATTTATGGGAAGACTTTTCCCCCAAAACATGGAACAAAGAAACACAGGTGATACAATCTAAAAGTTCCAAATTTTAGGAATTTTGTTTTTAAAGCCTTTTTATTTAGAACCCCAAGTCATAGTTCTAACAAAGAAATGTCTCATAAAATAATTCTCATAATGGGATGGAAACACCTTATGAATTGCTCTCATGTAAAAACAGTAGTAGTACATTCTGTAAGAGAGAGCATTGGCTAGGAAGCCTGGAAATAGTCTCTCCAGTGAAACACTGGTTAGGCGACTTCAGCGTTCCATTTCCTTTTAAAAAGCAAACAAACAAAAAGCAGGGGAAGGAATAATTACAACAAAAGATAAACAAGACAAAATATGTGTAAAAGTGCTTGTACACTTTTGGAACTATGAAAATGTCTTACCTTTATTATTGTAGAAAAATTGGAGCATTAACAGAGAAAGGCTAATCTCTTTTACTATATCTTTAGATATAAAAAAACACAGTTTATATGCTGCACTTATACCAAACAAAAATCTTCAGTAAAAGAATGCGAATATTGAAAGAAAAATTACAGTATCAGATTGGATGAGTTAATCATTGTACTACTAGACTGGTTTAACAGTATTTATTTCCTGTTCTCTGTTCGGTCAATTTTCAATACTGACTAATGGATGCCCAACCCCGCTGGGTCTTACCGCTCATTCTGCATAGCAGTAGACATTGGGTTGACTGTTGGGCTCACAGATTTGTTTCTTTCCCATATCATCATAAGTTCAGCCATCCTCTCCTCAGCACACTGTGCAGTAAGCCGAGCCTCTGCATCCTGGTCCCAACAGTCTTCGATTGTCTCCTTGAGCGACCTCACTGCCTATAATAAAGTACAAGTCAAACAGTGTATCTTTAAAAAAAAAAAAAGTATTGTGTTTTTTAGTGACATGAAGTAAAAGAAAAATCCATTTTCTTTAACACATATTTTACATAGCTGCAATAAAATATTTTAGACTTTAGAGATTTGGAAAGGGTCACATTTCTCAAAAGGTGAGGAGCAAGTAAGCAAGCAAGCTTTAACTCATTGAAGAATTATGCAAAAAAGCAAGCAGTTGTAATAAGTTATATATGGTTCTTCAAGGCCACAGGTTTAAGTCATTGTTGACCTACCACACTGCTATTTCAATCAGTAGCCACTAATGATCCACTTCAAAAATAATATTTGAGTTTGATGTAATTTTGGCACCAGGTTATCTTCAATCTCTAGGCAAGCTTTTTCTCTTTTACTCCTAGAAGAGTACTTCATTCCAACCATAAAATTTAAAGGCTTGGTATTTCCTTTTTCTTTAAACTAGTTTCAATAAGAGTATCAAAAACAATCCCATTTTGATATATATATATATATATATTCATTCATTCATTCATATATATATCAGCAATTAACAATAGCCTCCCTTTTGGGGAAAGTTGGTTTAAACTCCCTTTTAAAAGACAGATTTTCAGATTTTGTACACTTTGATGGACTGTCATCGATAGCACTTCCAGACTTGTTTTTGGGATTTGTTTTTATTAAGCTTCAAGCTTTTCACCTGCTCTAACAGTCACACTTCTTGTGCCTTTAAAACATTTTCAAAAAAGTAAAGCTAGAGTTGCCAGATTTAACAAATAAAAATATAGGATACCACTTAATTTGAATTTCAGATAACTGACAAATCATTTTTTTAGTATATTTCATGTAATACTTAATCTGAGTATTTTACCTGGCAAGACTACTTTAAGCCAAAATCCTTGTAAGCAATCTTGGCAACATTTTTAATGTTTCCTAATAATTTGTGTTCTGTAAAAACAAATCTGAACCTTGAACCTGCAGGAAATTTGATACTGTTCTTTCTGGGGATATGCTCGCTGCATACCTGCACCATGGCCCACCCTTCACACCATCTTTCCCGCTCTCTTGGCTCTTCTGAACTGCCTGCCTGGGAGCAGTACTGCTGGTACCCCAATTCTGGTCAGAGCACAGATCAAAGAGTACCTCTTTTAAGGCTGTACTTTACACTGAAGTTTGAAATCTATTTTACTAAATGTCCCAGGCTCTTACTGTTGAGTAAAATTAAAATTCAAACAATAGATACAGACATCAAGTAATAACATACTCAATTAAACAATAATAATCTATTTCTCAAAATTTAGAGAACTTAAACAATAAATGCTGGTCAGCCGGCATTTGAGGGCAAGTTTGGTGTTTATATTAGAAGTCATATTCTATAATGTTTCTAAAAAAACATTGAATTACTGAACACTGAACCACTGTTCCTAGCGGACATACAAGGTTAGGTTCCCGTAAGTCTCTGGTCACAATTTTTGTCAACCAATTAATATAATCTTGTTTTATTTATGTTTCTGTTTAAAGATGCCTTTAAAAATATATATTATCCATTTATTCACCCTGCATGCATGGCCAACAGCCCTATACCTTATCCCGTAACAAAGCTAATCTAGCACACGTTTTTCTTCTGCATAAGGCACATCACAGCCTCTTTGTGCTTAGAACAGCAGACAGCACTTCAGCACTATAGCTGGGAACCATTTTAAACTGTGAAATCACCATCGAAAAGAAAAAAATGTGAAAAATGAGGCACTAAATAAATCGCAAAAAGGACTATTGTTGACAGTATAAGAAATTAAACAAGAAGGCAGAGTGCCCTGTTAGACCTCATTTGGGAACATGTACATCTGGTGACAAGTTTTTCACCGCTTTGCTATCCATGAATGGCCGTAAAAGAGTGCTGAGTACTCATTTGGGGACCACAAATAAATTTTAGCACGTAATTGAATTCCAAATATGAAATCCGTGAATAATGTGGAAAGGCTATATATAATGGATTTAAAACTGACTTGAAGAAAACAGAGGAAACTCAGAAATCAATTATAACTAACTTTTGGTGATAAATATACATCTAAAAACTAGTTATACATTTACCTTAGATGATTTTGATATTGCTTTGACAAAATGAATTAGTCCTAGGTTATGAAATGAGAATTTTCTCTTTTTATTTTGAAATAATTTCAAACTTACTTTTCTTGTCTTGCATAACCTTGACATTTCTTAAGATTATAGGCCACTTACTTGTATGATGTTTCCTCATGATTATATTCAAGGTTTATATCTTTGGCAGAAAATTACAGAGGAGATGCTGTGTTCTTTTCGTTGTATCTTGTGTGGTGCACAAAATTTGATTTGACCCATTAGTAGTGAAGTTAACCTTAATCACATGATTGAGTTGGTATCAGCCAGGTTTTTCCACTGTGAAGTTCCATTTTCCCCTTTTCTATTCAATCAGTGTTGGATTCTGTTTCAATTAGTGTTTTTTTGTTTTGTTTTGGGGTTTTTTTGGGGGTTTTTTTTTGGGGGGGGGTACTTCAAGCCTCTGTAAACATCCTGTTCTGCATTCACTTTTTCACCCACTAGTTTTAGCATCTCTTAATGTTTCTTGGCTGAGTTCATTATACCTATGATGCTTGCCAGTAACAAGACATTTAAAAAATGATAGTAAATCCATAACAGAAATATGGACAAAGGGCACATAAACAAGAAATGCAAGTGCCTTACAAAATATGCAAAGATGCTCAACCTTATTCACTATGCTGAGGCAGTATAGTGTAGTTGTTAAGAATATTAGTTCTAGCTTTGTAGTAAGAGGACCAGCTCAGTTAAGAGTCTGACTTCAAATCTTGGCTCTGCTACTCACAAATGAAAACAAGATCCATTTTTACTTATCACATTAACAAAGAAATGAAATTTTATAACACAAAGTGTTGGTGATGGAAAGGCAGGCACTTTACATTGTTGGGCGTGCCATCGATTTTGAGGGTAATATAGTAATAACAAATTTTAAATGTATTTATCCTTTGATCCAGCAATACTATTTCCAGGAATTTATTCCTCAGTTACACTTACACATTTGTAGAAAAATGAATGTATAGGATGTTCATCGCAGTGTCATTTAAAATAGCAAAACCTGGAAACTATCTACATGTCCTCTTATAAGAATCTGGCTAAAAACTTACATATAATGTATACTATACAGCATTAAGAGAACTAGCAGGATGTATATACTCCCAACTGCTAAGTAAAAATAGTAAGGCTAAGTTGGTATAGTAATTCCCATTTGTATGTTTGAGAATTATATAAAAAAATATATAGCCTTGTAATGCATAGAAATTTCTGGAAGTCTACAGAAGGAATTTAACAGTGGTAATTTCTTTGGAGGGGCTTTTGGATGTTCAAGGTGAGTGGAAGAGTTTTCACTGCATATTTTTTGTACTACTAAAGAATGATTCATTATTGTTTAAACTCTTTGAATTTTTACCACATGCATGAAAAATAGTCCAATTAAATAACTTTGTTGTGTGGGTAGTATCTGTCACTAAATTCAAAAGGTCAAAAAGGGAATACAATCTCCCTCCCATCCTTTATCATCAACCACCCATTTTCCCTCTCTATAGGCATCCAAACACATGCAACACCACATACTGCACACACAAAATTATAGTTTCATTCATGTTCTTAATTACTAAACGTGAAGGGCAACACAGTAAAGAACACACACTGAAATCTTTCTAAAGCAAAGATATAGACATGTTTCCCCACAATACTGAAAGGGGCCCTTTCCTTTTCAACAACAAAGCACTATCTATTGTACAGAATCCTATTCACCAACTGCTGCCCCAGAAAAGTTCATAAACACCAAAATCCAAGTAGCTAAAAATTGTTTATTGGCTGTTTCTGTATCTTAAAGAAACGGGGACACTGAATGAGGATAGATTTGTTACTTTTAATTTGTTAAAATTCTTTTCCAAAATGAGACAGAAAAAGAAAATAGACATTCATCGAGGCATTGTACTGTATGATAAATCTGATAACCAGAAACCCTAGTCCGTACCTCAAAGGAGTTTACATTTTTAAGGCAGAATCATTGTTGATGAATAATAGTAGTAGTTAATCTTATCTACTTTTTTCCTTATTCTGGAGTATTCATCATTGCTTTACTCTGTTTCTGGGACCACTGTCTCTGACAAAATCATTGTTTTTAGGACCCTCAGAGTTCTATTTATAGTCAACCTCTGAATTCTCATATATTTTTTCTAATTTTTCTTTTTCTCTATTTCATATTAATAACTTACTTCTAAATCTTTACTTGTGTAAATGACTTACCAACCATTATTTTAACATTGTTTGGAACTTGTAGTAGATTCTCAAAAAAAACAATCACCTTGCAACTTTGATAACAGAACCCATTTATCCACTAGGAACTGCCTGTGTTCTATCAGCATAGATAATGTATCAATTTGGAGCTACCCTACCTGGGCTTTGATCTTTATTTTGCCACTTACTAGCCACAAATCCTAACTTCTCCTCTAGAACTCTCTTCCTGAATCTGAAAGATGGGGATGATAGTAGTACTTACTTCACATAACGAATGAGTTAAAACAGAGACTAATACATAGTAAGAACTTGACAATTGTTAACTACTATTATAATTCATCAACAAGGATTCTGCCTTAAAAATGGAAACTTCTGAGAGGTAGGGACCAGAGTTTCTGGTTACCTGATTTTATTCATCATCCATTACAATGTCTTGATGAATGTCTTATTTTTTTCTGTCTCATTTTTTAAAAAAGAATTTTAATGAAAATTACTTTCCAACCATATAATGAAAAGTAACAAATATAAAACCATATGTCCATACAAACACTTGTACATGAATGTTCATGGTAACTTTGTTTGTATAGCCAAAAACTCAAAACAATCCAAATATCCATCACCATGCAAATGGGTAAACAAATGATAGCATATCCATTTAATGGAATACTACTCAG